ATAGGAAGAACTGCAGCTGAAATGAAGATGTTTCCTCAGGTAACGTTTCTCCAGGATATAAACCCGATTACAGCATCATCAGAATCACACTGGAGATCTTAATAAAGGAGGGATCAGGGGTATTGTTGAGCGCGGGCATCTGCGGACACATACCAACTCACACAGAGCCCAGAAAACAGCCTTCACTGCTTCAGTGTCACATGAAAACACTGACAGACGGCAGAATCCACTGATCACAAACTCACACTCATACGTCACAAATCACTATTTCTAGTGCTCATACTTAAGAGATAATGACTGGATTAAATCAATCAATCAGTTCCGCTCAGAACACCCTAGCAACCACATAGCAACACCCTAGCAACCACATAGCAACACCCTGACAACCACATAGCAACACCCTAGCAACCACATAGCAACACCCAAGCAACCACATAGCAACCACATATCAACACCCTGACAACACCCTGACAACCACATAGCAACACCCTGACAACCACATAGCAACACCCTAGCAACCACATAGCAACACCCTGACAACCACATAGCAACACCCTGGCAACCACCCACGTCACCCTAAAATCACAGAGGAGAGTTCAGCATAAATATCACATCAATTACAAATCATAAATGTTTTTGAGCAAATTTTGAGTTTTAAACAAATATAAAAAATAGGTAATTCTATTCGCTCAATTTGTATATAAAAAAATATATAACATAAATAACTCCTAACAAACACCCAACCAACCAAACAAACAAATAAATAAATCAGTAAATGCATTTTATTACTATTTACATTATATAAAAGTACGGTATATATTTTATAAATTTTTATATACATTTTTATATAATTTATATATGTACATTATATATATTTTTCTTAATATACAACTTGAAGAAAATATATTATTTATCATATATATTAATTTTAACATATATTTTTTAATACAAAAATTTAGGAAAATTAAAAAAATCATATATATATATATATATATGCGTGTGCGTGTAAATAATTTCATTATCATTTATATTTTTTCCTATAATACAAATACTACATTATACAAAATTAAATGTCATATTATATTATATTATAAAAAGTGAGGGACATTTTTGTATAATGTAATTAATGTAATTAACGTAGTTAATGTAATGCATTGTTATTTATATTATATAATTTATTTTGACAACCACATAGCAACACCCTGGCAACCACCCACGTCACCCTAAAATCACAGAGGAGAGTTCAGCATAAATATCACATCAATTACAAATCATAAATGTTTTTGAGCAAATTTTGAGTTTTAAACAAATATAAAAAATAGGTAATTCTATTCGCTCAATTTGTATATAAAAAAATATATAACATAAATAACTCCTAACAAACACCCAACCAACCAAACAAACAAATAAATAAATCAGTAAATGCATTTTATTACTATTTACATTATATAAAAGTACGGTATATATTTTATAAATTTTTATATACATTTTTATATAATTTATATATGTACATTATATATATTTTTCTTAATATACAACTTGAAGAAAATATATTATTTATCATATATATTAATTTTAACATATATTTTTTAATACAAAAATTTAGGAAAATTAAAAAAATCATATATATATATATATGCGTGTGCGTGTAAATAATTTCATTATCATTTATATTTTTTCCTATAATACAAATACTACATTATACAAAATTAAATGTCATATTATATTATATTATAAAAAGTGAGGGACATTTTTGTATAATGTAATTAATGTAATTAACGTAGTTAATGTAATGCATTGTTATTTATATTATATAATTTATTTTATACAATTTATTTTCAACAATTTTACGTTTTTTTTAAAAATATATAATTGTGCGACAATCAGCTCAGAAAAAAAATATAAATACAAACTAAACTTTCAAAAAACGTAATTATGATCCAATTCTGTTCAGCTGGCTTCTCGTCTGGTCACATGACTCACATTTCTCATCCTAATTATTTGGAAAGACCTCAAACGGAAGCAGTTCTTCACGTTTGCTGCTTGTGGAATGAACTTCTTTTGCGTCACTGACTCGTCTCCATCTGTCCATTCAGAGCCGCTCTGGAATTAAAGCATCAGCAGATCCAGACCAGACTAACTCTGGAAGCTCTTTCTGTGTTCACGACTGAATCTGCGGGACCTTCACAATCACACACTGCATACTAGTTCTGAGGAGACAGTGTGCACTTTTTCTGGAGGTATAATAATGCATTGCACTTGACTTGATATAATAACACACATATATATATACATGCATACAAATATATTTCCACACACATAGGGTTATTATACTTATATTAATGATTTATTTACAATTTAAATAATTAAGTATTGATTGTGAATGTTGTCTGTATGGTTTAGTTTGTATTTATCATTTTTTTCTGAGCTGTTTGTGGCACAATTGTTAAAAAAGTTTGGTAAAGTTACTATATTTTTGGCTCAATTTTAATATTAGAAAATTCATTACATTAACTATAATAATTATATTAACAATGAAATACATTATTTGTTGATAGGATTAAATTTGGTTAATCACCATCATTTTTTATAATAGAAAAAAAAACATAATATAAAAAGTAATTATATTAATTATTTTAAAAGAAATAAATACAAATAATTACATAAAAAATCATTATTTTATTACTATTTACATTATATAAAAGTACGGTATATATTTTATAAATTTTTATATACATTTTAATATAATTTATATATGTACATTATATATTTTTCTTAATATACAACTTGAAGAAAATATATTATTTATCATATATATTAATTTTAACATATATTTTTTAATACAAAAATTTAGGAAAATTAAAAAAATCATATATATATATATATGCGTGTGCGTGTAAATAATTTCATTATCATTTATATTTTTTCCTATAATACAAATACTACATTATACAAAATTAAATGTCATATTATATTATATTATAAAAAGTGAGGGACATTTTTGTATAATGTAATTAATGTAATTAACGTAGTTAATGTAATGCATTGTTATTTATATTATATAATTTATTTTCAACAATTTATTTTCAAAAATTTTACGTTTTTTTAAAAAATATATAATTGTGCGACAATCAGCTCAGAAAAAAAATATAAATACAAACTAAACTTTCAAAAAACGTAATTATGATCCAATTCTGTTCCGTTCAGGACATCAGCTGGCTTCTCGTCTGGTCACATGACTCACATTTCTCATCCTAATTATTTGGAAAGACCTCAAACGGAAGCAGTTCTTCACGTTTGCTGCTTGTGGAATGAACTTCTTTTGCGTCACTGACTCGTCTCCATCTGTCCATTCAGAGCCGCTCTGGAATTAAAGCATCAGCAGATCCAGACCAGACTAACTCTGGAAGCTCTTTCTGTGTTCACGACTGAATCTGCGGGACCTTCACAATCACACACTGCATACTAGTTCTGAGGAGACAGTGTGCACTTTTTCTGGAGGTATAATAATGCATTGCACTTGACTTGATATAATAACACACATATATATATACATGCATACAAATATATTTCCACACACATAGGGTTATTATACTTATATTAATGATTTATTTACAATTTAAATAATTAAGTATTGATTGTGAATGTTGTCTGTATGGTTTAGTTTGTATTTATCATTTTTTTCTGAGCTGTTTGTGGCACAATTGTTAAAAAAGTTTGGTAAAGTTACTATATTTTTGGCTCAATTTTAATATTAGAAAATTCATTACATTAACTATAATAATTATATTAACAATGAAATACATTATTTGTTGATAGGATTAAATTTGGTTAATCACCATCATTTTTTATAATAGAAAAAAAAACATAATATAAAAAGTAATTATATTAATTATTTTAAAAGAAATAAATACAAATAATTACATAAAAAATCATTCCATAAATAATTTCATTTATTACTCTCTCTCTCTCTCTCTCTATATATATAATCAATTATCAATTAATTATCAATTCAAGGTGTATCTTTCATATACTCTTAATATTTTGAAACTGTTTTTTTCTATATTTTATGTTTTTATTTTAATTTTAAAGTTGCAGTTAAAGTTTTTGTATGTTTAATACAGAAATACTTAAATATAAATAATATCTAAATTAAAAAATAATTATTAAATGAATGATTAAATTGATTAAATAAAATTAAATATATATATATATATATATTAATTATCAATTAAATGATTCAGTAGTATCACTGATATACTGTTAATATTTTGAAACGGTTTTTATTTTTTAATTTGATATATTTTGGGTTTCTTTTTATTTTATTTTTAAAGTTGCAGTCATTCTTTTTATGTTTTTTGTTTGTTTAATTTTTATTAGTTGTTGGTTGTTTTAAATAAAGTGATTTATTAAGTCTATTAAGTTGTAGTTTACTTAGTTTTATTTATTTCAGTACTTCAACCTAAACTAAAAGAAAATGAGAAATGCTGCTTTGACAACTACCTAAAATAAAATAAGTTTATTTATATATTTTATTCATTTAATTTTATTTCAATTAATATATAAATATATATATATATATATATATAGACACTGTATACATATATATATATATATAGATTTTGTTAACTATAACAGCACTATAGCCTACTAAAGTTTGAAATTACTTGCTTACTTCTTTTTGAATACTGTGCAGTATATACTGTACACTACCTACTATTTGTTAAAATATATAATGTAAAACAGTTTGCATGTTTGAACAGCAAATGTTCAAGCACCAGTACACTAACATTGTTGCATTGTGGGATAAAGCATCTCATGAAATGTGCTCTGTTGCTTAGTGCACATGCATACTGCATACAGTGTACATACTGCAGACACAGTCCAATTAGTATGCTACTATTCTATTCTGAACAGCCACACCACAAAAGCTTGTGTTTCGAGCAGCTGGAGTAAGCGTAAGTTTAATGGTGAATCGCAGTGGTGAGCGGATGCTGTACCTCGTGCGTGCGGACGCTGTCGCTCGGCTCGGACACTCTGATCGGCGTGGAGCGCTGTGAGGCCGTCCCTTCCTCCTCGCGCTCTTCCTCGGAGTCATCCTCAGAGCTGCTGGAGATCTGCTCCTCGCTGGGAGGAGGAGGAGCGCTGGCCGCCGTCTTCCTCTGCAACACCGCCTCCTCCTTACTGGACTTACTGCTGAGAGACCAGAGCAGAGGAACAAGATCAGCACCTCATCCTCAATCTCATAAAACACTCCGAGCCACTTTCAATAGGCAAAACCCTGCATGAAGGCCGTCAGTGAACTCAAAAATCTAAAAGGTGTGCATTATAACTGAGAACTACATGACCACTTCACAGTTGGTTGTGTTACTGTAAGTAATTTTCCTCTAATGCTATTGAAGTTAGAAAAGTGTATACCAATGTCGTATGTAACTTTAGAGACGGTCCCTAGATTTGCGAATATCGAGTGCCGGGAAATGACACCTCTGGCCATTCCGTTGGGTCGTTTACAGAGTTTAGAGTTTACAGTTAGAGTTTATAGTTAGTTTACAGAGTTAGAGTTCAGAGTTTAGAGAGTTAGAGTTTACTGAGTTAGTTTAGAGAGTTAGAGTTTACGGAGTTTAGAGAGTTAGAGTTTATAGAGTTTACTGAGTTAGTTTAGAGAGTTAGAGTTTACAGAGTTTACAGTTAGAGTTTATAGTTAGTTTACAGAGTTAGAGTTCAGAGTTTAGAGAGTTAGAGTTTACAGAGTTAGTTTAGAGAGTTAAGAGTTTACGGAGTTTAGAGAGTTAGAGTTTATAGAGTTTACAGAGTTAGTTTAGAGAGTTAGAGTTTACAGAGTTAGAGCTTACAGAGTTAGTTTAGAGAGTTAGAGTTTACAGAGTTAGAGTTTACAGAGAGTTTACAGTTATATATTTTACAGTTAGAGTTTACAGAGTTTAGAGTTAGAGTTTAGAGAGTTAGAGTTTACGAAGTTAGAGTTTATAATTAGTTTACAGAGTTAGAGTTTACAGAGAGTTTACAGTTATAGAGTTTACAGTTAGAGTTTACAGAGTTTAGAGAGTTAGAGTTTACTGAGTTAGTTTAGAGAGTTAGAGTTTACAGAGTTAGAGTTTATAGTTAGTTTAGAGAGTTAGAGTTTACAGAGTTTAGAGAGTTTGAGTTTACAGAGAGTTTACAGTTATAGAGTTTACAGTTAAGAGTTTACAGAGTTTAAAGTTAGAGTTTATAGTTAGTTTACAGAGTTAGAGTTTTCAGAGTTAGTTTAGAGAGTTAGAGTTTAGAGAGTTAGAGTTTACAGAGTTAAAGTTTAAAGAGTTAGAGTTTATAGTTAGTTTAGAGAATGAGTTTACAGAGTTAGAGTTTAGAGTTTACAGAGTTAGAATTTAGAGTTAGAGTTTAGAGTTTACAGAGTTAGAGTTTAGAGTTAGCGTTTAGAGTTTACAGAGTTAGAGTTTAGAGAGTTAGTTTATAGTTAGTTTAGAGAGTTAGAGTTTACAGAGTTAGAGTTTACTGAGTTAGTTTAGAGAGTTAGAGTTTACAGAGTTAGTTTAGAGAGTTATTATAGAGTTAGAGTTTACAGAGTTTAGAGAGTTAGAGTTTATAGAGTTAGAGTTTACAGAGTTTAGAGAGTTAGAGTTTATAGAGTTAGAGTTTACAGAGTTTAGAGAGTTAGAGTTTATAGAGTTAGAGTTTACAGAGTTTAGAGAGTTAGAGTTTATAGAGTTAGAGTTTACAGAGTTTAGAGAGTTAGAGTTTATAGAGTTAGAGTTTACAGAGTTTAGAGAGTTAGAGTTTATAGAGTTTATGGAGTTAGAGTTTATAATTAGTTTACAGAGTTTGAGTTTAGAGAGTTAGAGTTTACAGAGAGTTTACAGTTATAGAGTTTACAGTTAGAGTTTACAGAGTTAGAGTTTATAGTTAGAGTTTATAGTTAGTTTAGAGAGTTAGAGTTTACGGAGTTTAGAGAGTTAGAGTTTATAGAGTTTACTGAGTTAGTTTAGAGAGTTAGAGCTTACAGAGTTAGAGTTTACAGAGTTTACAGAGTTAGAGTTTATAGTTAGTTTAGAGAGTTAGAGTTTACAGAGTTAGAGTTTACAGAGTTAGAGTTTACAGTTAGTTTAGAGAGTTAGAGTTTAGAGTTTACAGAGTTAGAGTTTACAGAGTTAGAGTTTACAGAGTTAGAGTTTATAGTTAGTTTAGAGAGTTAGAGTTTATAGAGTTAGAGTTTACAGAGTTTAGAGAGTTAGAGTTTATAGAGTTTATGGAGTTAGAGTTTATAATTAGTTTACAGAGTTTGAGTTTAGAGAGTTAGAGTTTACAGAGAGTTTACAGTTATAGAGTTTACAGTTAGAGTTTACAGAGTTAGAGTTTATAGTTAGAGTTTATAGTTAGTTTAGAGAGTTAGAGTTTATAGAGTTAGAGTTTACAGAGTTTAGAGAGTTAGAGTTTATAGAGTTTATGGAGTTAGAGTTTATAATTAGTTTACAGAGTTTGAGTTTAGAGAGTTAGAGTTTACAGAGAGTTTACAGTTATAGAGTTTACAGTTAGAGTTTACAGAGTTAGAGTTTATAGTTAGAGTTTATAGTTAGTTTAGAGAGTTAGAGTTTATAGAGTTAGAGTTTACAGAGTTTAGAGAGTTAGAGTTTATAGAGTTTATGGAGTTAGAGTTTATAATTAGTTTACAGAGTTTGAGTTTAGAGAGTTAGAGTTTATAGTTAGTTTACAGTTAGAGTTTACAGAGTTAAAGTTTACAGAGTTCAAATCAGCTCTGACCTACTGAACTATCAGAGCCTGGATCATTATCATTAACTAACACTAAAACCATTACAATAACATTTTACATTAATTATATTAACAATTAATTATACATTATTTGTTTACTTTTTTTTTTTTATATTCAATTTTTTCCCCTTCAGTAAAAACAAAAAACAAAAATTATATTAATTATATTTTTTAATTATATTAAAATTATATTATTATATTAAGTTTTTAATTTTAGTTTAATTAGTTTTAAATTTTTGTTACTTGCAAGTAATATTTAAAAAGATATCTGAAATAAGCTATATATAAAAAAAATCTTTTTAAAAACTAATTTCAGCTAGTTGCCACGACAACATTTCTCATTTTAACCTCATTTAGTTTAACTTTATGTATTATAATAACTACAGTAAAACTAAAACTGAAATAACAAATTTACAATAATAATAAATACACATATTACTAAAAAATATATATTCATACTATATAGATATTTTATATATTTAGATATATAGATATATTTAAAATAACTTCTTTATTATATAATAAAAAAAATTCTGTATTTTTTACATTAAAAACTTAAAATTATATATATATATATAATATAAATAAATATAAAAAATATAGTAAAATATTTTGTAAATATTATTGTAATATATTTTAAAACGCAATTAATTTCTGTGATGGCAAAGCTGAATTTTCAAAAAACATTTCTGATTATTATCAGTGTTGAAAACAGTTGTGCTGCACGATATTTCGGTGGAAACTGTGATACTGTGATATCTGAAATGCAAATCTTTTGTAACGTTATAAATGTCTTTACTGCCACGTTTGATCAATTTAATGCGTCCTCGATCAATAAAAGTATTATCAACTGATTCACCAAATGGTTTGACTGATTCATTAACAATAATTGCGTCAACTAAGTGATTAATTCGTGAATTTGACCAACACTATGTTTATTTCTGCATGCAGTCAGTGAGGCTGTGGTATGAAGTTGATTATTTGTTGTCGTTTGTTTGTTGGCCAGTCTTTCTCTTTCACCATCATTCATAAGCTCAAAACGCTTTTTTGCAACTGGAGATTCAGCAGCTCCTGGTTATTGTGTATATATTCGGCATCATTGTTTTTGTGTTTTCTTGCACGAAGCAGTGCCGGGAAGAGAAGCTCGGGCCACCAGATCTGAATATTCACGCACATATTTTCGTGTGAGATTCCCGTTCACACCTGAAGGACGGCAGACAGGTATCCACGCACGCACAAACCAGTGTGAACCACTGAGCTGATGAAGGAAACAGCAGATCTCTCAGACTCACCCCAGCACTGACTTTGCGCTCTCGTCTGGTTTGCGGACGGTGAACGGACTGGGATCGAGGCCCACCGTCTTCGGCATGAACTCCCTGAGAGACGAGACGAGAGAGAAATCATGAGAAGACGTAGAAAAACCTTCTGTGCACAAACATGTGTAAAGGAACTCTCAAATATCAGATATGTTCAAATCATCAAATCACTTGGCAGCAGGTTTGAAGACACAAACGCGCTTCACAGCAACACGCCAAAATAAAAGTTTGGTTGAAGTCAAAGACATTGTGACAGAGATTTATTACTACTGTACAGCAGAATGTACTTCTCAAATAATAATAATAATAATTTTAATGAATAAATTTTTATTTTAAGAGGTATTTTAATTATTAAGTTTTAATTATTTTAAAAATGTATAAGATTAAATTATAAGATTAATTTTTTTTAATTATAACAGTAAAGCCCTGTTGCGCAGTACTTTTATTATTATTATTATTATTTTTAAGAGGTATTTACATTTTTTTTTAATTCTAATTCTTTTAAAAATTAATAAGATTTAATTATAAGATTTTAAAAGTTTGAATTGTAACCGTAAACCTAAGTTGTGCGGCGCTTTTATTATTATTATTATTATTTAAGTTGAATTATTTTAAAAATTAATAAGATTTAATTATAAGATTTTTTAAAGATCTGTTGTGCAGCACTTTGTTTGCCAAAAAATAAAATAATTATCACATTTTCATTTGATTACATTTTTTAAAAGATTAAACTATTAAACTATTAAGCCTTCATTTGATTATCACTATTATAGTTAATAAGTTAAAAACTATTACAGTTTCTAATAATAAATGTACTGAATCATAAATCCAGAAAAATTAAAGACAACACTGAATTTCTGGAAAAATACAAGATTTCATAGCGCCCTATAAGTGTAAAATAAATAAATAAAATTTAAATTGATTAGACATGCTTTATTCTGAGGTATTTTAATTATTAAGTTTTAATTATTTTAAAAATGTATAAGATTAAATTATAAGATTAATTTTTTTAATTATAACAGTAAAGCCCTGTTGCGCAGTACTTTTATTATTATTATTATTATTTTTAAGAGGTATTTACATTTTTTTTAAATTCTAATTCTTTTAAAAATTAATAAGATTTAATTATAAGATTTTAAAAGTTTGAATTGTAACCGTAAACCTATTACAGTTTCTAATAATAAATGTACTGAATCATAAATCCAGAAAAATTAAAGACAACACTGAATTTCTGGAAAAATACAAGGTTTCATAGCTCCCTATAAGTGTAAAATAAATAAATAAAATTTAAATTGATTAGACATGCTTTATTCTTATTAAAGTGTACTTAAAGCATTAAAACAGAACGCATAGAAATTAAAATGGAAAACAGAATTTAGGAAAAAGTAAAAGATCTCAGAGGGCAAGAAAATGTTTTTTTTTTTGTGGCTAATCCTTCAATAAATTGTATGATTTCAACTTAATTACTAATTAAATTGACTATTAAAACTGAATTAAAAATATAATTTGGAAAATAAAAATATCATTTTGGCTGGAAAAAAGATGAAAAAAATTCTATAAAAAATAAGGGGGCCAATATATTATGTTTTCTTTCCGCTTTTTAAGATTGAAAAAATATATAAATGCATTGAAATTTTTTTTTTTTTAATGAATATTGAGTACTAAACATTTTGAAGGAAATAATACATAATTTTAAACAAATTTCTTGTTACACTGAATAAAAGCATGTTTCATGTCTTACTGGGAAGGATTCTTAAGTGCACATTTATTTTAAAGAAAATATTTTTTTGTTTTATTTTATTTTTGTAAATAATGCTTTGTGTTTATCTATCACCAGCCCTAATTAAACAGAAAATGCTTGTACAAATCAAGAGGTGCTTAAAATGAGTAACTCATGCATTCATCTGACTTGAGTAGAGTAAGTAAACGGCACATTTGTGACCCTGGAGCACAAAACCAGTCACAAGGGTCAATTTTGTGAAATTGAGATGTATACATCAGCTGAAAGCTGAATAAATAGCTTTCCATTGATGTAAGGTTTGTTAGGATAGCACAATATTTGGCTGAGATACAACTATTTGAAAATCTGGAATCTGAGGGTGCAAAAAAATCTAAATATTGAGAAAATCATCTTTAAAGTTGTCCAAATGAAGTTCTTAGCAATGCATATTACTAATCAAACATTAAGTTTTGATATATTTACGGTAGGAGATTTACTAAATATCTTCATGGAACATGATCTTTACTTAATATCCTAATGATTTTTGGCATAAAAGAAAAATCTATAATTGTGACCCATACAATGTATTGTTGGCTATTGCTACAAATATCCCCCAGCGACTTAACACTGCTTTTGTGCTCCAGGGACACATTTGTCTTTATGAAAATGAGGCAAGCTACCGGACGGATTTTCCAACACTCATCCGGTGAGAGGAGATGGTAAAACGAGAGCAATAAATATGAGAGCAGCTGAACCCCGTCTGAGAGACAACAGGAGACGCTAATCAAACACTTTCACAACAGAACCGAAGAACCCCGAGCGTGAAAGCGAAACACAGACTAGAGCGACTTCTGTGTTATTCCTCACAGAGCAACACAGATATGAAGATGCTTTTTAAACAAACACGCAAACAACTTAACTATTTACTTAAATATTCATTCACATAAATAAGTAAGTAACCTTTAAGGTTTTCTTTAATATTTATATATATAAACATTTAAGTAGATGTGAACGTAAATGTTTAAGTAAATTCATTTAGATATTTAAGTAAATATTACATTTTTAATATTAGTGTTTATATGTGAAAATGAATTTGAGTACATTTTAATTTACTTTAGTAAATACTAACATTTATTTATTTATGCTAATAAATATTTAAGTAAATATTATTAAAATAAAATGTTTATATATATAAAATATTTAAATTAATGATCATTCATATAAATAAAAATTTTATTTTAATAATATTTACTTAAATATTTATTAGCATAAATAAATAAATGTTAGTATTTACTTAAATATGTAAATTAAAATGTACTCAAATTCATTTTCACATATAAACACTAATATTAAAAATGTAATATTTACTTAAATATCTAAATTAATTTACTTAAACATTTACGTTCACATCTACTTAAATGCTCACTCACATAAATAAATAAGTAAATAAATAAAATTTCATGTTTTAACATTTTAAATGTAAACAAAGTTTAACAATGACTAATTTTGATATATACTTAAATATCTGAATTAATTTACTTAAACATTTAAACACTTATTATAGTCACATAAATACATTTGAATATTCACTTAAATATTTAAATTAATATTTACAAAAAAATGCATTCAGATAAATAAATAAATTTGAATATTTACTAAAACGTTTCAATTATTATTCACATTTAACGGTTTCAAATAAAAATTTGTTTAAATTTAAAATATTGTTAAAATATGAACAAATTTGAACGAACATTTAAGTAAATATTAATTTAAAGATATTTAAGTAAATGCTAAACTTTGTTTACATTTAAAATGCTAATATATTAAAGTTTATTTAATCACGCATTTATATCTTAAACTACTTATTATATTCACATAAATAAATACATTTGAATATTCACTTAAATATTTAAATTAATATTTACACAAAAATGCATTCAGATAAATAAATACATTTTAATATTTACTTAAACGTTTCAATTAATTTACTTAAATATTTACTTTATCACTCACTTAATTGTTCATTCACATAAATAAGTAAATAAATAAATAAACTTTAATATTAACTTAAATATTTATATAATACATGCATTTACTATTTACTTCAATATATACTCAAATATTTAATTTTTCTGAAGTGTGTGACCTCGCGGAGTTGGTCATGGCGATGCTGAACGTGTCGTCGAACGAGGTGAGTTCGTACGGCTTGAAGATCTCGGTGTAGATGTCGATGCTTTCGTCAAAGCGGTTCACGCGCTTCACCGTCACCTTCCTCCGGTTCTTCTCACACTGGGCTGAAACAGAGACACATTCAGAAAGTCTCTATGATTTAACATGCACAAGCTATAATATACCGCATGTGTGAGGTGTCTAAATACCAACGAAACTTTCCAGAAACAAGGTGAATTAGAAATTAATTAATTCAAAAATGAATAACATTTTGCTTGTTACATGCAGCACACGAATCCTTCATGGAAAAGGCAATCCCATATTGCAATGCGATGAGTTCAGTGAAAATAATTAGGAAAAAGACAAAATTTTGTACCTAATATTTGTGTACACAACGTTTTTGGTTAAATATTTAAATGTATTATTTATATTTACTTAAATATTAATTCATTAATAAATAAACAAACAATTACTTAAATATACATTCACACAAATAAGTAAATAAATAGGATGATAAATATTTTTTTTTATTAATTAAATAAACAATTCAATATTTACTTTAAAATATACTTATATGTTTAAATTGTTCACTTAAATATTAATTCACAAATACAAAAATTAACAATTACTTAAATATATACTTAAATATTTATTCACACAAATAAGTAAATAAATAGGTTGATAAATACATTTTAAAAATAATTAAATAAACAATTAATTAAATATGTAATTAAATTGTTCACTTAAATGTTTAATTAAATATTCATTCACAAATAAATAAACATTTACTTAAATACATACTTAAATATTTATTCACTTAAATAAGTAAATAAATAGGTTGATAAATAAATAAAAAAATTAAGTAAACATAATTAATTGAATATTTACTTTAAAATATACTTAAATATTTAAATTGTTCACTTAAAGATTAATTCACAAATAAATAAATACACATTTACTTAAATATATACTTAAATATTTATTCACTTAAATAAGTAAATAAATAGATTGATAAATAAATAAAATAAATAATTAAATAAACAAATATAATTAATTAAATATTTACTTTAAAATATACTTAAATGTTTAAATTGTTCACTTAAATGTTTACTTATATATTCATTCGCAAATAAATAAACCTTTACTTAAATATTTATTCACTTAAAGGGGTCATATGATGCGATTTCAATTGTTCCTTTCTCTTTGGAGTGTTACAAGTTCTTGGTGCATAAAGAAGATCTGTAAAGTTGCAAAGACTAAAGTCTCAAATCCAAAGAGATATTCTTTATAAAAGTTAAGAGTCGACCACGCCCCCCTAAAACGCCTCGTTCTAACACGCCCCCACATGTCTACCTCACTATGTGGGAAGATTTGCATAACGCCGCCCAAATGTGCACGCAAAGAAAGAAGGCGTGGTTTCAGGAACAGCAGTAGTGTTGAAGCAGCATGTCAGAGAGACGCTGTGTGCCACTGTGTCTGTCACGTGACTCTGTTCTACTTTCGGGCTCTGTCTTTACATTTATTTTGAAAGATGAAGCTGGTGATTATGGTAAGGGGCGTTACATTTCAGACGAGTGCTTGTGGTGTTCGGCCAATCACAATGCACTGGGTCAGCTGGCCAATCAGAGCAGACTGCGCTTGTCGGAAGGAGGGACTTTGTAGAAAACAAAGCGTTTGAGAGAGGCGGGGCCTAGAGGACCGACAATAATGTACAGTATTTGAAAAATAATGTGTTTTTTGAACATTAAAGCATGTCAACATATTCTGTTACACCCAATACACACAATAATGATCTTTAAAATAGCATCATATGACTCCTTTAAATAAATAAGTAAATAAATAGGTTATTAAAAAAGTTATTAAATAAACTTAATTAATTAAATATTTACTTTAAAATATACTTAAATATTTAAATTGTTCACTTAAATGTAGTGCTGGGTGGTTCATATCAAATACCGGTGTTTATTTTTCTTATGATATTAATTTTTAAAATACCGCAATACCGGTCCCTTTTCACTGTTGCACTGTGGTGAGGGAACAGCTGTATGTGTTACTAAGCGTGAAAGTTCAGAAACTGAAGCTGTAGAACTAATAGAACGTGATGACACAGAAGAACTCATCCACAATATCCACACTGACCTCCACAAATATCCAGCGCCCGCTGCCATCAGCTCCCGCGTCTCACACACACCAGCGAGACTTTAGCACTAGATTTAGCCACTTTCAGACGCTTTTAGCGGCTTTTTCCAATAGAATATATATACTGACAAACCTAGCCACTTTTTGGATAAACCTTAGCCATGGTTCAGCTGGAGGATTTCTCCAGTGCTGTGCCGTGAGCGCGAGATCTGACTTTCCCGGAGAAGTGTCGCCTCTCTCGGCGTCTGTTCTGTGCAGCGAGCGGCAGAGAAGCACCGCAGCCGACTCCTCAATAAATGAGTACAAAACAGCGTTTCCTAGCACCTGTCGCTTACTGAGTGTTTGGAATGATAAATATGAGCGTAGTTCGTCTGTTAATATAATGCAATTTTTTTATTTGTTACTCCGAGGCAGGCAGTGCGCTGCATGAGACAAAAAAGTAATATAGCCAAAACAACCGCATAGCCGCTCAACATGCATCTACTGTACATGCATGTTGATTTTATCAGACGATACCGCGATTATAAATGAGAGTGACTCCTGGTTAACATGTATAAATGGGTCGTGTTTCGTCACTATTTAGAGTGGAATTTTTCTACAATATTCACTCATCATGACAGTAAAATAGTGCATGGAAAAAAATTAATAAATACCGTCATATACCGTGAAACCAGGTATCATTTTGAAAAATACTGTGATATAAATATTTGGTCATACCGCCCACCACTGCTTAAATGTTTATTTAAATATTAATTCACAAATAAATACACATTTAATTAAATATATACTTAAATATTTATTCACTTAAGTAAATAGATTGATAAATAAATAAAATTAATTAAATAAACAAATATAGTTAATTAAATATTCACTTTAAAACAATTAAATGTTTAAATTGTTCACTTAAATGTTTACTCACAAATAAATAAATAACTTAATTAACTAATTCATATTTGGATTAATATTCAGTCACATAAATCAATGATCGGTGATTATGAGAGTCGTCGAGGAGTCACTCATGAAGCTCCATGCGATCAGGACGCTGACTGACATGACCGCTGCTTCGGCTCAGTGTTTGTGGTTAATATATCAGCTCATGTCCCTCATATCGGTCTTTATGGATGTGTAAAGCGATCACCTTCATCATACGGTGACGGCAGGAACGTCAGCACTCCGTCAGTCCACCAGTGTGTGTAACTGCAGAGAAAAACACAAACACATCAAACAGGACTACGGTAACACTGTGTTATTCTGGGACACGGTATCATGCTAATACTATCGTTTTACACACATGTACCATGCAATATGGCAGCATATGAACATTGTAATATTAAACATCAAAGTTCTATGGTATTACTATCTGATACCATCACTGTACCACAGTACTACAGTGGTGTGAAAAAGTGTTGGCCCCCTTCCTGATTTCTTATTTAGTCAACAAATAATGCATGTGCATACTAATGCGAGTATGTGCTTCAGTTAACATATACTATATTAAATGTATAATATTATATAATACATTATAATCTCTATATAATATAATAGTATATATTTATTATTTTATATTATTATTTTAGGGAAGGGAACGAAACTTTGCAAATGATTTAAGACCTTCAAAATACACTTTTTTTCAGATTTTGTAATAAAAAACTTATATAATTTATGTAGCTATATAGAATGTATATAATATATATATATATATATACACACACACACACACAAACACAAACAAATAAATATTAATTAATTAAAATATATTATACATACATAAAATATTAGGTTTCATTAAAATATATTTAATATTTTAATCAAACCCGGCATAAATCAATTTTATCACACCAGAAAATACATGCATACATGTGCATAAAATCTGAGGGGGAAATGTGCTTAAGTTACATAAATATAAAGTCAACACAAAAATCTTAATGGAAAAATATAATTTTATATATCAATTCAATTCCGTATGACTCAAACGTGCTTGTGATTAAACCGTCCTGGCGATCGGTGAACTAAACGGAAATACAGTGGGTCTAGAAAAGAATCAGCCTCCTTTACAATAATCACATTGTGTTGCTTTGCAGCCTGAAATGAAGACGGACACGGTTTGTGTTTCATCCAGCTGTATTTACTCAGTGCTACTTATGACATCCAAGTGAAAAACACCAGCATTTCAGAAATAAATAAAAAATTAAAAAGCAGAATCACTGAGCTGGAAAAAGGATCAGTATTTTGTTGAAGCATCGTCTGCTTTAATTCCAGCCTTTAGTCTGCTGGGATTTGTCTCTACTAACTCTGCACATCTAGACTTCGCAGTATTTGCCCGCTCTTCTTTGCTGAACTGCTCAAGTTCAGTTCAATCTGATGGAGAGTGTTTGTGGACTGCAGTCTTCAAGGCCATGCAAGGACATTCAGCTTTTTCTCCTTCAACCACTGTGTGCTTTGCGTCATTAAACCAATGATGGTTATCAATTATAAAATGTTCCTTCTATATCCTGACCAGTGCTGCAGAGAAACACTCCATAACAGGACATCACCACCTCCATGCTTTACTGTAGCTGTTATCTGGATGCTGAGCTGTATTGGATTTCTGCCAGACATATCGTTTGGTGTAGAGGCCACATAATTCAGTTTTAGTCTCATCTGCCTCAGACTCTTTAAGGAGCGTTTTAGTCTGACTGCATGTGGCCTTTCTTCAGGAGCGGCTGTTTTCCATACAAGCCACATTTGTGGAGAGTCTGTGATATTGTTGTCTCATGCACACAATGATCGCTCTTTGTCATAAACTCCTGCAGCTGCTTCAGAGTTGCTGTAGCTCTCGTTCTCCTCTCTGATCAGTTTCCTCCGGCTCTTTCATCAGTTTGGAGCGACGTCCCGATCCAGGGAGGGTCTGTGTTTTACCTAATACCTTCCACTTCTTAATAAAAGACTTCTCTGTGCTTCTAGGCATTGATAAAGCCTTTGAAATGTTTTTGTCTCCATCTCCCGACTTGTGTCTGTCCACAGCTTTATCCCGGAGATCTTCTGACTGTGTTGCCACTCATAGCTGATCGTTTTCTTCAGTTGCACTACTAAGGACTGAAATTTCTCCAGGAAAGCTCTTTTCATGCTGAGCTGATCAAAATGAGCACAGCTGAAAGTCAAATGGCTTTGTGTGCCACTGAGAAGGTGATGAGCTGCACCTGATTGAGTTTACAAGTCATTTTTAGGAGGGGTGATCCTTTTTCCAACTCCAATTTCCAATTTATTTGTGAAATGTTGGTGTTTATCACTTGGATGTTATAAGTTGCACTGAGTAAATACAGCTGGATAAAACAAAAACTGTCTGTCTTCATTTCAGGCTGCAAAGCAGCAAAATGTGATTATTTTAAAGGAGGCTGATTCTTTTCTATACCCACTGTACATGCGAACATAAATGTCCTATTTGTCCTGGAACACGAATTGTCATTTCAGAGACTATCTGACGGTACAATTTCCCTAAACGGGTCAGATTCCTCTCATTTCGTTTTGTGTCTGATAATAGTTCTTTGTCATGTCGACCAGCGTCCATTATGCAAGCGGCATCACAAAGCAACGTGCCGGATGGCTGGAGGAAAATAAAGTGGGTCAAACACTTCTTTAACATCACAGCAATAACAGAATAAACCACAGTCGGGCAGAAACTGGATGCATGTGAAGCTGCAGACGCTACAAATGAAGCACACGGCGAATAAAATGATGCGGAAAAACATTCTGGTATTTACACAAGTTAAAGGCGATGTAACGCTAACCAGTAGCTGTTCATAGTGTTCACTAAGGCAAACGTCATTAGTTTTAGTGCTTATACTGTGCTATTACTTTTCTAAAGTGATCGATTTTACATTTTTCACCATGCATTCATGGTGGCACATGATGTTTTTCTTACCCTCACAACGCATTCGGTTAATTTTGTCCCAGAACAGATGCATAAACATTTCTAAAAAAATGCATAGTTTTTAGTAAGTCAACGCAACTTTGCAAATGCTTTAAGAGCCTCAAAATATGCATCATTTACTTTTTTCAGATTTTTTAAAATTCATTTTTAATAGATATAACCATTTAAAATGGTCATTTTGACCCGGGTGTGTATGGAGCACCATTAGTGTCAAAAACACTTTTTGTAAAATTATCTATGGAGTTAAATTAGTGTCAAAAACACTTTTGTAAAATATATTTAGCCTCTTCTCCATCTCACACACTTGTGGAACTGAATTTTGTTTATAAACATGAATATTGACTAACTATTGCAGCATGAAAAATTCATCACGCTTTCTATCTGAAAGTGAAAGTTTAAGTAAAATAAATTTATTTAGTCTGAAAACTTTTTAGAGCAATATTTATGTTTTGTTAAAATAATTGTGTAGGTTTCATAAATTTGACATGTTTTTAAGCAACCATGAGTTATGAAGTCAAAAGAATTTAACTATTAATTCCAATGGGGTTAATACAGGTAATTCTCAGATTATATGTTTTTATAAATTTCATGCAATAATATATTCAAATAAGATTTCTCATGAATATTGAAAAAAATATACATACATTTTAGTCATCATAGTTTTGTTGTCGTTGTTGTTCATGTGTATTTGAAATTTCAAAGAATTTGTTAATTTTTTATTAATAAATGTGTAAATGCTGTAATAACATGGTAACATTCAAAACTTAAAAAAAATTTCAATAGTGAAATATAGTCTACATATTTTGAGTGCATTAAAGGGTTAGTTCACCCAAAAATGAAAATTAGGTTGTGTTTTACTCACACTCAAGGCATCCTAGGTGTATATGACTTTCTTCTTTCAGACGAATCCAGTCGGAGTTATATTAAAAATTGTCTTTGATCTTTCAAGCTGTTTAATGCCACTCAGCGGGTGTTGCATGCATCAGTCCAAAAGAAGTTAAATAAAAACGCCCATCCATAAAAAACTAATTTTTCACACTGCTCCGGGGGGTGAACAAAGGCCTCAAAAGCGCAGCGGAGAGATCAAAACAAAACAACGGTCAAGAATTAGAAGTACAAAACGAGGATTTGTAAAGAAGAATTTCGATATAAGCCCAGAGGATTTTCCTTTGCTAAAGTAAGGAAACGTTGCTTCCTTTGATCCTGTAAACAAACGTTGGTTTTCACGAGACTCACCGGCGCAGCGCTGAACTCATACGTCATGCTCCCGGAACTGCTTCTGTGTACAACAGTGAGCGCAAGATACATTAAAGTGATTATTACGGATGGGCGATTTTTATTTAACTTCTTTTGGACTGATGCATGCAACACCGCTGAGTTGCATCCAAAGAACACCATACCTACTGTGAAGCATGGGGGTGGAAACATCATGCTTTGGGGCTGTTTTTCTGCAAAGGGACCAGGACGACTGATCTGTGTAAACGAAAGAATGAATGGGGCCATGTATCGTGAGATTTTGAGTGAAAACTTCCTTCCATCAGCAAGGGCATTGAAGATGAAACGTGGCTGGGTCTTTCAGCATGACAATGATCCCAAACACACCGCCCGGGCAACGAAGGAGTGGCTTCGTAAGAAGCATTTCAAGGTCCTGGAGTGGCCTAGCCGGTCTCCAGATCTCAACCCCATAGAACATCTTTGGAGGGAGTTGAAAATCCGTGTTGCCCAGTGACAGCCCCAAAACATTACTGCTCTAGAGGAGATCTGCATGGAGGAATGGGCCAAAATACCAGCAACAGTGTGTGAAAACCTTGTGAAGACTTACAGAAAACGTTTGACCTCTGTCATTGCCAACAAAGGGTATATAACAAAGTATTGAGATGAAATTTTGTTATTGACCAAATACTTATTTTCCACCATAATTTGCAAATAAATTCTTTAAAAATCCTACAATGTGATTTTCTGGATGTTTTTTTCTCATTTTGTCTCTCATAGTTGAGGTATACCTATGATGAAAATTACAGGCCTCTCTCATCTTTTTAAGTGGGAGAACTTGCACAATTGGTGGCTGACTAAATACTTTTTTTCCCCACTGTAACTCCGACTAGATTCGTTTGAAAGAAGAAAGTCATATACACCTAGGATGCATCGGGGGTGAGTAAAACACAACCTAATTTTCATTTTTGGGTGAACTAACCCTTTAAGAAAAAGGTGTTAAATCCCTGTCAGGAGAATCTATTCTCTCAGTTTTTTGCTCGTCTGTTGAAGTCTCCAGAGAAAGCACAGCACAGGTTGTTAATCAGACAGAAATAAGCCGTAAGCGTCAGACCTGTGCTGCTGGTGTGGGAGGACCATGGTATCGCTGTGATGAAGGTAGAAATCTGTAGGCAGTTCCCAGAGGTGAGGCTTCGACTCCGACGGCTGGAAGACCTGCAGAAAGAGGTTTATCGCGTCCTGTCTGTCTGCATCTGAGAGACACAAACCATCAATGTTACTTCTGTGAGTTATTCCTGTTTGCCCAAGTCTTAGTTTAGGCTTTATTTTATTATATAGTTTATTTTATTTTATTTTTTTTAAATTTACATTACATTTATTTATTTGGCAGATGTTTTATCCAAATTAAATTTTATTACATTCGAGGTATACCTTTTATCAGTTCATGCATTCACTGGGAATCGAGCACGTGTCCTTGACTTTACTAGTGCCACGCTTTACTTTAGAAACAGGATACTTTATATTTTATTATTTTATTTCATTGTATTTTATTTTATTGTATAATTGTATGTATTATTATTAGAGCTATACTTGTAATTATTTTTTTATTTCATTTATTTTATGTTGAATTTTATTTTATTACTTTTTTTTTTAATATATAATTTTATGATTTATTTTACATTTATTATAAATTTTATATTTATTTTACCAATTTGATTACATTCAAGCTACTTTTTTTACTTCTTTTTTTTATAGTACTTTATGAGCTACATATTTTATTATTTATTTGATATAATTTTACTTTTTGTTATTTTTATTATATATATATATATATATTTATATACATACACATTTTATTATAATTCATTATATTGTATTTAATTCTATTATTTATTTTATTTTTATTTTTATTTTATTGTATTTAATTTAATATGATAAATTTATTTAATATTATTTATTGATTTAATGAATTTTTTGGTAAATATTACTTGTTTGAAAAGTGCTTTTTTACTTTATAGTACTTATTTTTGTCTTTTAATTTTAATTGTACGCAGCCAAACTACAAACGCTTCAGCAACATGAACCATTTCTGAGATGCCAATAAAAACAAACCACTACAACTGAAGCCGCGAGAGACAGAAAATCACCTGATCATCACAGTGAGAGCACCAAGCAATGACAGAATCAGATGCACAGCAGTGTTTGAGTCTGTTTTCAGCTGCCAGGACTTTGTTTTTGAGAATATCCACAGGTTAAAGGTTGATAATCGCGGCACATGCGTGTGTTTGAGCGATGGTCCTCTGCATGTGCCGCGGCCAGCGTAATCAAGAGTTAATCGACAAGCAGTGAACGCAATTACACTCGTTCCTCGTCATCCCTCAGGCCATTTCAGCATCTTTCTAATTAAATAAAGCTGAGATGAGAACCGAGATGAGCAACATTAATGCACGAACACGTTCATCCACAAAACTTCACATGGAAACGCCTGAGCGTCCAGCAAAACCCCCGGAATATAAGAGTAAAATGTTTTATATTTTATTATGTTTTAACATTACATTACAGTTTTCCAATTGGCCGACAATTTAACAAAAGATTTATGAGCTACAGGTAGGGATATTATAGTTAATTAAAGGCATTAAAACACATTTTAATTTCTTGAAGAAAAAAAAAAGTAAACGTAAATTCAAGTTATTAATAAAAACTATTAAAGCACATCAATGATACTAAAATAACAATGATATAAATTTTGTTTTATTTTATTCATTTGTTTAATTGTATTTTTATTTAAATGTATTTAATTTTAAATTTAAATTTAATTGTATTTAATTTAAAAATGTAATAATTTAATTTTACATTATTATTATTATTCATTTACATTAGATTTATGAATTACAATAATGAGTAAAGAGTATTTAATATTACTTTATATATTTATTTTATTTACATTTGGCAGTCATTTTAACCAAAGCTTTATGAACTACAATAATATTTTAATTTTAATTATTCAATTTATATTTTATTTAAATAAATTGATTAATTTTATTGTATTATTTTTATTTAATTCTAATTTTATTTTCATTGTATAATTTTATTTAATTGATAATTTTATATTAATTATTTTAATTAAAAAAAAAAAAAATTCAAACAGACATTTTAATAATAAGATTCAGAAGAGTAAAGGTGAAACTTAAGAATATGCCAAGATCTAACTCCAAAGCCCAGAAATAAAAAAAAATTAAATTTTACGTTTTAAAGTAAAATGTAATTTTTTTATATATATATATTTCTATATATCAAACCTATTTTAGGACCATTACTTTTTTTTTTTTTGCATTTTGGCCCTATTTAAAAAATTAATCTTAAAGGTGCTAAAATAAGCTTCAGTTTTTAATGCAATAAAAAAATGTTTATTTTGATTTTAGAGTGAAAAACAGCATGTGCTTGAGATTCACCTGTATAATACAGTCTGTGTAATACTGAAATATAACAGCGGTGTGTGTGCTGAACTCTGATTCATTTCAGCAGAATTGACCTGAGGAGAGTCTAAATGAGACGAGGCTATAAATACAACATGGAGAACAAGAAAAGAGTCTGAAGAACCTCAAAAATAGGCAAAAACATGAACCATTCGATCAAACCTCAAACCCACTCCTTTAATTAACCAGCACAGCGCAAAAACAGATGCTCTTCTTCAGTATGTGTGTCTCGTTTTCCAGTACAAACATATAAAGAAGATTCATTCACTGGAGATGAAAAATTACATAAGCAGTCTTTTTCTGAAAAAAAAAAAAAAAAAAAATTCTAAATTAAGTAAGGTTTATGCTTAAAACAAAAACAAATATCTCTCAATGAGATAAGAAACAAAGAATAAAAAAAAAAATAATAACATTTTTTCAAAAAATGTATAATTATGGACTATTTTATGGTATTTTTGCCTTTAACATAGACATGGTATAAGTCCGGGTTATTATAGTTAACTAAAACTAAAACTAAAACATGCATAAAATGTGTTAATTGAAATAAAATAACTTTAAAATATTAAAATAACAAATAAAATATAAAAAAAACTCAAATAAGACATAACTCAACTTGAAATAAAATAACTTTAATAAAATACTTAAAAAGGGCATTTAATTAAAACGAATTTAATAAATATGATTTATTTTTTATAGCTTTTTTCTTATTTTCTTTTGGTTTAATTTGATGTACTAAAATAACTGAAACTAAAACCAAAATCAAATAATAAAAACGATATAGGCGTTTAATATATACAAAATAAAATAATAAAAATAAACTAAATTTCCAATCATCTAATTTGCTAAAATTACTAAAATTAAAACTGAAAGTATAAATAAAAACTCAAAATATTAATAAAATCTATAATAGTATCTCAATCATTTCAATCAATCAAAGAATCATTTAAAATGCAGTTTTATAAAAACATTAATACAATTTTCTAACTATTTAATATTAGAAAAATTTATATTTTCTAACTATTTAATATTATTAAAATTGTAAAATATTTATAATAATATTTTTATTTATATTTAATAATATTTATAATAATATAATATAATTATATATATATTTTATAATAATAATAAAATATTTTTTATAATATTTAATAAATTACTATATAATATTTAATCAGACAGGAACCACCTTTAAAATGCCCTAAAACACACATTTTCAGGTCTCTGTGATGCACGTGTGCTATGGGCAAGTAAATGAAGATGTAATTGTCATTTTTGGGTGAACTACTCCTGGAATAACTCCAGACGATGTCGCGGTGTCCTCTAGCGAACGGGACGCGCTAAACGCCTCAATCACATCCATTCTGTCCGAGAATCACAAGCGCAGAGCAGGAGAAGATTATAACGACAGGTGACACTGAGAAACGAACCACTCATCCATTCCTCTCGCTCTTTCAATAACTTCATCTCTCTGTTCATGTCAAAGAAAAAAACAAGTCTCTCTGGACTCGTCGAGCTCCGAATCAAACCTGACAGGCCAAGCGTTTTGATTAAGTCTGTCAAAAAAGAGCCAAGAATGACTTAAAAGTTCAGCTGAACCATCAGATAAAGTGTTGAGGAATGACTAACTAAAATGAGCTTTTCTACAAAACTACACTTTTAACTATTTGTAAATTTGTAAAGAAATGGTCACTTTCAAATCTGATCTGAAACACTGGCACGGAGACAAAAACGGCATCATTAATGTAATCAATGATTTCTGATCATTTCCGTGCGAAATGGAAGCAAAATTAAAATTATTAACTTGTATTTAATTAATTAGTGAAATTATTAAAATAATTAAAATGTTATTAAGATAACTTTTAACATTTAAAGAGTTGTGCAATACAAAAAAATAAAAAATTTTATATATATAAAAATTATATTTTATTATTTTTTTCTTTTTCAATATGCTAAGGCATAAAGGTTTTAAATCATTCAGAAAATAGATAATAAAAATTAAATTCCTAAACACTTTATAGGGGAAAAATTTTAAATATTATACTAGCCAAAAGTAAGTTTTAACATCTTATAGTTACATAATTTATATTTAAAAAAATTATATTAAAAAAAACTCTCTCTCTCTCTCTATATATATATATACAGTGGGTACGGAAAGTATTCAGACTCTCTTAAATTTTTCACTCTTTGTTATATTGCAGCCATTTGCTAAAATCATTTAAGTTAATTTTTTTTCCTCAATGTACACACAGCACCCCATATTGACAGAAAAACACAGAATTGTTGACATTTTTGTATATATATATATATATATATATACTGTATATATAATTATTTGATTTATTTTTATTTATATTAGCCAAAATTCAGTTTTAATATCTAAAGGGGATTTTAAAATAAACATTACAAAAAATTATAATATAAATATTATGATAATATATAAAATATAAACAATATCAGATAAAAATACAATATAAAAATATCATATTTAGAATTGATTTAGTTTTTTCAATACTTATTTTTGGTTTTCAGCCCAGTGTTAAGTTCTCATCTCGTCCAAGATTTTTTGTTGTGGTGCATCACTAATTCATTTTCTCCACACACACACACACACACACACACACACACACACACACTCAAACACACACAGAGACACACACACACACAGACACTCAAACACACACACAGACACACTCACTCACTCACACACCCACACACTCAAACACACTCACTCACTCACACACACACACACACACACACACACACACACTCTCACACACACACACTCTCACACACACACAGACACACACACACACACAGACACAGACACAGACACAGACACAGACACAGACACAGACACAGACACAGACACAGACACAGACACAGACACAGACACAGACACAGACACAGACACAGACACAGACACAGACACAGACACAGACACAGACACAGACACAGACACAGACACAGACACAGACACAGACACAGACACAGACACAGACACAGACACAGACACAGACACAGACACAGACACAGACACAGACACAGACACAGACACAGACACAGACACAGACACAGACACAGACACAGACACAGACACAGACACAGACACAGACACAGACACAGACACAGACACAGACACAGACACAGACACAGACACAGACACAGACACAGACACAGACACAGACACAGACACAGACACAGACACAGACACAGACACAGACACAGACACACACACACACACACACACACACACAGACACAGACACACACACTCACACACACACACACTCTCCATGTTTGTTTATGTCAAACACAGTGTCGCTGGCGGCGAAAGCGTTCACACGGGTGCAATATAATCACAGCGCTTGACTGGAATGCGGCGCCTTCGCCAATCAACCAAACGGCAATTACAGCTCATTTCAGGCTTACATTAGATTTCACTCTTATCCTAAAATCATAACGTTAACATTATTATAAGAACATGAAGCAATTAAGAATACAACATGCGAATTTGTGTGCGCAAACCAAACTCCCGCGAGGACGCGATGACGCGGTGAACATTCAAACGCAAAATTACGGGAAAACAAACCGTGTGACCCAAAAATATTCACTAGCAACCAATGGGATTCGAGTTTGGTGACGCTGTAACCACGGAGACTAGAACTGGGTTGTTGCTATGACGACACACATAAAAGATTCAATCATGTCTGTAAATACAATAAATGGAACACAATAAACATGGAAAAACTAAACGATGTCCAACCGCAAAGTGATTTCAGGAAATCCAGCAAAACCTGACAATAATCCACTGCGTGCGGCGCATTCACACGTTTTCTGATGGATTCAGCTCTGCACAGGGCCAATAACATGTGAGATTGGCAGTTTATAAATCGAATCATTATAATTCACACAAAGCGACCCATCAGCACAAAGGCAGATATGAATAATTCACGAAGGAGAGCATGAGAGAACGTGGGTGGAGGATATAATGGCTCACACAGGTCTCTCGCCCACTCTCTCTCTCTCTCTCTCTCTCCAGCTCCAGACCATCATTAACTTATGAAACGGGACACATTAACATAATGTTACATAATACACACATTTCTATGGATGGGTGTGCAGAAAAATTATGAATAATTATTGAAAATCTTTTTTTTGCATTACTGTAATGAGAATCTGGAGTTTAAATGTGCCTAATCATGAAAAATGATATCAGAAATGCAAAGAATAATCCCACCTATTTGTACTACATATATTATTAGCGGCAGCTAGGAAGATAATCACTGTGAATTGGTTGAAGATGCACGAACCTACTCTGACAGAATGAATACAGAGACTGAATCAGATACATATATATTTGAGAATATGACAGATTTACTGTTCAAATCAGACATTTTCCAACAGAACTGGGCACTAATCGAAACATATTTGGTTGACATTGAAATGTTGTCAGGGGCTTTTTGTAGTTATTGTATTTGTATTTATTTTAAGTTATCGACGTTTTTATAAATTTTTTTGTTTAATATTATTTAAGCTGTCTTAGTTTTTTCCATTTTGTATGCTTATTTATTTATCCATTTTTTTTATTTGTATTTTTTAAGCATTAATATTTTAAGGAAATGTTGTGTGTATATTGTTCTGTTTATAAAACGTTTAATAAAAACACATTTAAAAAAAGAAATGCAAAAAAATATAAGCAATAAAATAAAATAAATTAATTAAATATAAAAGCTACTGGTCAAAAGATTGGAATAATTGTTTATATATATATATATATATATAATTATTTATTTATTTAAAAAAAAAAAATTGTTGAAAGAAGTGTCTTCTGCTCACCAAGGCTGCATTTATTTGATTAAAAATACAGTAAAAATTGTGAAATATTATTATGATTCACTTTAAAAAACAAAGTACAATTACAGGAACCTAAAAATATACATTAAAAAAAGCACAAATAAATTGACGGACAACCGATTTAAAAAAGAGGGAAATAAAAACGGAATTAAAAATACATAAAACAAAATAAAAAGCAGAAGTAAATCTGTTCAATACCTAGTGATCAAAATGTATTTTAAACACTTTTTTTATATTTACTTCCTAATGGGTAATTTATGTGGAAATATGAGAAAAAAATTATTCAATAAAAATGTATCTAAATGTCTAAAAACATATGCAAACAAAGGTATTTGTGTGTGTGTGTATATATATATATATATATATAATAGTTTATATTCATATTTTGAATATATTTTTATTCTCTGTTTTCATTTTAATTTTAGTGAAATATTTAGAAGTTCTGTTGTGTGTTTTTTTATATCTAGTTTTGTTTTTTATGTCTATATAGCTTTTATATATAGTTTTAGTCATTTTAGTTTATATTTTATATCAGTTAAAATGCATTTGATTTTTAAGATCAAAATGTTTTAGTTTAGTTTTAGTTCTATAAGTATATATATATATACAGTATATATAAAATATAGACAGATATAGATATTATATATATATATTGATCTGTGTGTGTGTGTGTGTACAATGAATTAAAATGCATAAAACATGTGAATCTGTTCAACATCTACTGATTAAAAAGGCTTCTTTAAGAAAACATGTCTTAAGACGAGTTTTAAACACGTTTTTAATTTTTTTTTGTATTTTATAAATAACTAAAAATGCATGCAAACAACAGGATATGCCTTCTTAATGGTTAATGCATCTGTACCCATTGGAATAAAAAAAAAAATCATTACAGTGATAAAGAATAATTTACTGAATTTTACAAAGCATTGACAGATCTTTGACAGAATGCATCTACATTTAAACAACAACGTAAAACCAGGCGGCGTGTGACTGCTGGTTTAACGTGTCGGTCAGATAAATGCTGTGTTTTTGATTGGACACTTCTTGACCAGATTGAGCACCAACATGCAGCAGATTTTGAGGAAGACAAACCTGTAGCCTGCCATTCGGTGTGACCTTCCCTCCGAGATCTCCCCACCTGAACAACAAAGAGAGTCGTTTAAAGCAAACGAGGCTCTGACAGCCGATCTCCATCATCAGACCCGCTGCTCGCCTCAAACTTTCACCTTGTGTCTTTGAAAACAAATAAGTGCTTCAACACGTGGACCATTAGCGCTTTACAACAACAAGAGCTGGGAAACAACAAAAGTGCTGCATTTACCTCAGCCGTGACTCAGACGGGAGGCTTTCTGGGCTTTTATGAGAAGGACAGAAATAGTGTTTGCAGCACTGTACACATATGCAGCTCATCAGGAAGAAAATTTGTTCGGTATATTAATTGGAGTCTTAGTATTAGTATTAGGAGTATTCGTTGATCCATTTTCAGCATTCACTCAGCATTGTTAGCATCAAGGTCTTGCAGAAACAGATTCATGTGAAATAAAAATCACTGCTGGAAGTTTGCAGATCTTCAGGAGCGAAATATATACATCACTGCCTGTTTAGCTCCGCCCACCGATTCTACATCACTGCCGGTTTAGCCCTGCCCACCGATTCTACATCACTGCCGGTTTAGCCCTGCCCACCGATTCTACATCACTGCCGGTTTAGCCCTGCCCACCGATTCTACATCACTGCCGGTTTAGCCCTGCCCACCGATTCTACATCACTGCCGGTTTAGCCCTGCCCACCGATTCTACATCACTGCCGGTTTAGCCCTGCCCACCGATTCTACATCACTGCCGGTTTAGCCCTGCCCACCGATTCTACATCACTGCCGGTTTAGCCCTGCCCACCGATTCTACATCACTGCCGGTTTAGCCCTGCCCACCGATTCTACATCACTGCCGGTTTAGCCCTGCCCACCGATTCTACATCACTGCCGGTTTAGCCCTGCCCACCGATTCTACATCACTGCCGGTTTAGCCCTGCCCACCGATTCTACATCACTGCCGGTTTAGCCCTGCCCACCGATTCTACATCACTGCCGGTTTAGCCCTGCCCACCGATTCTACATCACTGCCGGTTTAGCCCTGCCCACCGATTCTACATCACTGCCGGTTTAGCCCTGCCCACCGATTCTACATCACTGCCGGTTTAGCCCTGCCCACCGATTCTACATCACTGCCGGTTTAGCCCTGCCCACCGATTCTACATCACTGCCGGTTTAGCCCTGCCCACCGATTCTACATCACTGCCGGTTTAGCCCTGCCCACCGATTCTACATCACTGCCGGTTTAGCCCTGCCCACCGATTCTACATCACTGCCGGTTTAGCCCTGCCCACCGATTCTACATCACTGCCGGTTTAGCCCTGCCCACCGATTCTACATCACTGCCGGTTTAGCCCTGCCCACCGATTCTACATCACTGCCGGTTTAGCCCTGCCCACCGATTCTACATCACTGCCGGTTTAGCCCTGCCCACCGATTCTACATCACTGCCGGTTTAGCCCTGCCCACCGATTCTACATCACTGCCGGTTTAGCCCTGCCCACCGATTCTACATCACTGCCGGTTTAGCCCTGCCCACCGATTCTACATCACTGCCGGTTTAGCCCTGCCCACCGATTCTACATCACTGCCGGTTTAGCCCTGCCCACCGATTCTACATCACTGCCGGTTTAGCCCTGCCCACCGATTCTACATCACTGCCGGTTTAGCCCTGCCCACCGATTCTACATCACTGCCGGTTTAGCCCTGCCCACCGATTCTACATCACTGCCGGTTTAGCCCTGCCCACCGATTCTACATCACTGCCGGTTTAGCCCTGCCCACCGATTCTACATCACTGCCGGTTTAGCCCTGCCCACCGATTCTACATCACTGCCGGTTTAGCCCTGCCCACCGATTCTACATCACTGCCGGTTTAGCCCTGCCCACCGATTCTACATCACTGCCGGTTTAGCCCTGCCCACCGATTCTACATCACTGCCGGTTTAGCCCTGCCCACCGATTCTACATCACTGCCGGTTTAGCCCTGCCCACCGATTCTACATCACTGCCGGTTTAGCCCTGCCCACCGATTCTACATCACTGCCGGTTTAGCCCTGCCCACCGATTCTACATCACTGCCGGTTTAGCCCTGCCCACCGATTCTACATCACTGCCGGTTTAGCCCTGCCCACCGATTCTACATCACTGCCGGTTTAGCCCTGCCCACCGATTCTACATCACTGCCGGTTTAGCCCTGCCCACCGATTCTACATCACTGCCGGTTTAGCCCTGCCCACCGATTCTACATCACTGCCGGTTTAGCCCTGCCCACCGATTCTACATCACTGCCGGTTTAGCCCTGCCCACCGATTCTACATCACTGCCGGTTTAGCCCTGCCCACCGATTCTACATCACTGCCGGTTTAGCCCTGCCCACCGATTCTACATCACTGCCGGTTTAGCCCTGCCCACCGATTCTACATCACTGCCGGTTTAGCCCTGCCCACCGATTCTACATCACTGCCGGTTTAGCCCTGCCCACCGATTCTACATCACTGCCGGTTTAGCCCTGCCCACCGATTCTACATCACTGCCGGTTTAGCCCTGCCCACCGATTCTACATCACTGCCGGTTTAGCCCTGCCCACCGATTCTACATCACTGCCGGTTTAGCCCTGCCCACCGATTCTACATCACTGCCGGTTTAGCCCTGCCCACCGATTCTACATCACTGCCGGTTTAGCCCTGCCCACCGATTCTACATCACTGCCGGTTTAGCCCTGCCCACCGATTCTACATCACTGCCGGTTTAGCCCTGCCCACCGATTCTACATCACTGCCGGTTTAGCCCTGCCCACCGATTCTACATCACTGCCGGTTTAGCCCTGCCCACCGATTCTACATCACTGCCGGTTTAGCCCTGCCCACCGATTCTACATCACTGCCGGTTTAGCCCTGCCCACCGATTCTACATCACTGCCGGTTTAGCCCTGCCCACCGATTCTACATCACTGCCGGTTTAGCCCTGCCCACCGATTCTACATCACTGCCGGTTTAGCCCTGCCCACCGATTCTACATCACTGCCGGTTTAGCCCTGCCCACCGATTCTACATCACTGCCGGTTTAGCCCTGCCCACCGATTCTACATCACTGCCGGTTTAGCCCTGCCCACCGATTCTACATCACTGCCGGTTTAGCCCTGCCCACCGATTCTACATCACTGCCGGTTTAGCCCTGCCCACCGATTCTACATCACTGCCGGTTTAGCCCTGCCCACCGATTCTACATCACTGCCGGTTTAGCCCTGCCCACCGATTCTACATCACTGCCGGTTTAGCCCTGCCCACCGATTCTACATCACTGCCGGTTTAGCCCTGCCCACCGATTCTACATCACTGCCGGTTTAGCCCTGCCCACCGATTCTACATCACTGCCGGTTTAGCCCTGCCCACCGATTCTACATCACTGCCGGTTTAGCCCTGCCCACCGATTCTACATCACTGCCGGTTTAGCCCTGCCCACCGATTCTACATCACTGCCGGTTTAGCCCTGCCCACCGATTCTACATCACTGCCGGTTTAGCCCTGCCCACCGATTCTACATCACTGCCGGTTTAGCCCTGCCCACCGATTCTACATCACTGCCGGTTTAGCCCTGCCCACCGATTCTACATCACTGCCGGTTTAGCCCTGCCCACCGATTCTACATCACTGCCGGTTTAGCCCTGCCCACCGATTCTACATCACTGCCGGTTTAGCCCTGCCCACCGATTCTACATCACTGCCGGTTTAGCCCTGCCCACCGATTCTACATCACTGCCGGTTTAGCCCTGCCCACCGATTCTACATCACTGCCGGTTTAGCCCTGCCCACCGATTCTACATCACTGCCGGTTTAGCCCTGCCCACCGATTCTACATCACTGCCGGTTTAGCCCTGCCCACCGATTCTACATCACTGCCGGTTTAGCCCTGCCCACCGATTCTACATCACTGCCGGTTTAGCCCTGCCCACCGATTCTACATCACTGCCGGTTTAGCCCTGCCCACCGATTCTACATCACTGCCGGTTTAGCCCTGCCCACCGATTCTACATCACTGCCGGTTTAGCCCTGCCCACCGATTCTACATCACTGCCTGTTTAGCCCCACCCACCAATTCTACATCACTGCCTGTTGCATCACTGGAGGAAGCGTTATTATGGATTATGGACTCTTCAAAATGGTCTTGATGGATTTGTTTGACGTTAATAAATAGACTGCAGTGGTGTGGAGTACTTGTGGATTATTGTGATGTTTTTATCAGCTGTTTGGATTCTGACGGCACCCATTCACTTGCAGAGGATCCATTGCTGAGACAGTGATGCAATGCTACATTTCTCCAAATCTGATAAAGAAACAAACTCATCTGCATCTCAGATGGCCTGAGGGTGAGAATTTTTTCAGGAAATGTTCATTTTTGGGTGAACTGTTCTTTTAATATAGTGTTCTGATAAACCCCTGTGGCTAACATTTGCAGAATATTCTTCAAACGATTTGCATTTAAAAACAGAACAGCCATTTCTATCACATAAATGTGAATTTACATGACACATTTGTTATTAAACAACATTATTTACACAATCTTAGATTCATTCGTTTATTCCTTCCACCTTTTGTGTGTCACACCGCTGCTGAAACAGATGCTGGAATCAAGTTATTCTCATCTTAAACAAACGGATGTTTTGTTGTAAAGGTCATTTAAGTGCGTGCATTTACCTTTCATCAGGACGTAACGTGTGGCAATAAAATTCAGGTCGATTAACGAAGAATCCCGTCCTCTTGACCACATTCTCAGCGATCATACTGAGACGATCCAACACGTTGCACAGTTTACTGCAGATGAGAAGTTGCAATTCTACTGTCAATTACAATGTTACAAAAGATTTCCATTTCAAATAAATGCTGTTCTTTTGAACTTTCTATTCATCTGTGAATCCTGAAAAATAAAACACCGAAGACTGGAGTAACGATGCTGAAAATTTATTTGAAATAGTAAAACATTTTCACAATTTTTACTGTATTTTCGATCAGAAAATGAGCAAAAGAGACTTATTGAAAGATCTTACAGACGCCAACTTTTGAACAGTAGTGTACATTATATCAGTTCCTGAAAAACAGTCACTTTACGACAGTCGTACGCACCTCTTCGTGTATCGCGCCATGTCCCAGGCGATGTACTCGATGCCGTGCTCCGGCGGGAGGAACTGGTTCAGGTTGGTGATAGCGGGATAAAACTCCTCACTCAGGATCTTCTCATGCTTTCTCTTCTCTCGTTTCTGACAAAACCAAAATCACCAAATCGACAATTATCACACACGGATTCCAACAATTTAACCTCAACTTATAACAAAAAATATGCAAATATGCAAGACAATGTGCGGCTTAATGTTTAGCAAATTTGTGCCAAACAAAATCGCAGCAAATATTTGGGAACAACAGACAACTCAGTAAAAAAAAAAAAAAAAAAAAAAAAAAACCCAA